TTACAACTTTTGCAATTTCGGTCGATAGAGGTGTCACGACATTGATTGTTTTCGTCGCAGTATAAATTATTAATTATAATTTGTTTTTTAATATAAAACGGATATAACAGTATCGATATCGACATATGTCCAAAACATTTTGTCGCAGTCGTTCTCACAGTCACAAAGCATTTTTTAAAACCTTTTTATGTTTAAATGATCCTTTTTGTTTTATCAATCCTAAAAGAAAAATCAATTAATACTGAGATAATATTAATTAATTCACTGTCCACATTCGTTTTCTTATATAAAGTATATGTATATTGAATGAAAATGGATTAAGTTCAAACAAATTTCTTTCAAATTTAAATTTGTCTTTTACAGTGATAATAATATATCTTGCTTTTTAAATGTTTAGTATACTATATCTTTCAATTTATTTGAGAGTGTTTGCATATTTTTTAACTATAATTAAACATTTTTATATTTATTTAATAATTAATCATTTGAAATAAAGTGTTAAACATCATTCAATTTTTATGAAAATGTGTGGAGCTTATTTTTTTGAGAAAGTGTGAAAATTGGAAAGTAGAAAAATTTGATGAGAAAGAAATTTGGATACCCAATAACCATTTTATGGTTACCGATTTACCACTTTGACAATAAATGGACAACCAAATCCAATATTTAATATTTGGATTGAATTTTAATAAATGCAACAATTTGGATATGAATTTGGTTATCAATAAATAGTTTTTTTGCACACCCCTATCCGTGCCCGTACAATGTTGAGCTTTAACTTCAGCAACCTCAGTAAAGGATCTACTCCCAACAAACTTACCATTGTTCACCAAACTAGGACTACCTTGTTTCCTCCTAACGGGGTTAGAACCAACACCAGAACTTTTAAAACCCTACCCTTCCTCTCTCACCCTACCATCGTTCCTCTCGAATCTAGGAAGATTCACGTGAATCTTGCTACCATCGATAAGAACATTGTCCATCCTTACCGCCAACATTCTTGAATATTCAACCTTTTTAAATCTTGAAAATTTGAATCTCAAACTCCATTTGTTCCTCCTAGGAGAAATAACAGTTTCAACAATCTCCCCGTTACACACTACGCCAAAAATAAGTTTTAGCAGCACACATACGAAAGCGCTTTTAGGAAAAAGCGCTGCTGTAGGTTTTAAAAAAAATTCGCTTAAAAAAAGCGCTTTCAAAGGGTTCCTTAAGAAAGCGCTGCTAAAGGTCACCCTTAGAAAGCGCTTTTTGAGAAGCGCTGCTAAAGGGTGCCTTTCAGAGGGTACCTTAAGAAAGCGCTTTTCAAAAGCGCTGCTAAAGGTCAGCCTTAGAAAGCGCTTTTCCAAAGCGCTGATAAATTTGGCCTTTAGAAAGCGCTTTTAAAAGCGCTGCTATAGGATATGCTATGAAAGCGCTTTTTGATGTAAAAGCGCTGTTATAGATGACCATTAGAAAGCGCTTTTAAAAGCGCTTTCGTAGGTTGTTTTATAATAAATTTTATTGATTTTGATTAAAGGTGTGTTCGTATTGTGGCTGTTTTGTTTCCTTTCTTCCAACCCAACCCCCAAATTCGTTCCTTCTTCGTACTCTCACGGTAGCCTCTTTCCGTTCAATCGCCACCATCGTCAACTCTCATCGTCGCCGCACGACTCGTCTCTCTCTTCACAAGGTTCAATCTCTCTCGAACTGCACCGATTATTTAATTTATATATTCTGAAATCAGTTTAGGTTTTCGATGATTTTTATTTTCTTCATCATTCACAGTGTAATGGTTGTTGTTGTTGTTGTTTGATGATTTTTGAATGTTTCCTAAAACCCTTTGATGATTTTTTTGTTACCTTTTTTTTGGAGTAATGGACGGTTTAGTGTTAGGTGATTATGTTTTAAAAGTTATTGAGGGTTTATTGAATAATCGGGCACAAAATATTTTCTTGGAAGCCATAGTGACATACAAAATTCTTGTTTCATTGATTAGCAAGCACAGTTAGTGTTTCTCACTCACAATAGTTGGACGGCAGGTTGTGATTCCCGATTAAGGCTCTCTGTCTTTTGATGTTTGTTTAATGTTTTTTGGAAATTAATCGTTTTCTGTAACTTCTTCTGGACCTTCCGATTCAGAGCAACATATCTCACCGGAGAACTCAAACGTGTCAAATCGTCAGAAAACAAGAGCAATATATCTCACCGGAGAACCGCTTGCCACAGGAGAACCGTCAGGTGATTGTTTCTTCTTTTCAATCTATACAAAATATTTTGTCCTTTTTGTTTATTACAAAATTTCGTAGCAGAAAACATATCTTAGACTAAAATGAGGCCATGCCATATATAAGAAACAAATGAAGTTTGGTATAGGGTAGCCCTTGAGTTTGATGAAACAAGGGTGTAATAGTATATAAGAAACAGACATGTAGAGGGTTGTGCTAATGATGTTATCTTGTGTTAGTGAATGGTGGTGGAAATTATGATTCATTAACAAACGGGGTTCCCCATTTCACATTACCATTCATTATTATGTATCTATATATCTATATCTATATGTATATTTAATTAGAGATAATGTAAAGTGATTAATTAACTTGTTAATGAGATGGATAAAGAAACAAAAACAACTTTTTAAGGTAACAGAATGCATGCTTATATAAAATTGTGAGAGTTAAGAATTGTGATTAGTGACGTAATCATAAAATGTGATTAGTTGATAGAATAAAATGAATTTAGTGAAAAGTATTGAGTATTGGTTTTGTTATATGGTTGTGCAAGAGCAAGTGCAAGTTTTGAGTATTGGTTTTGTTTTCTAATTTATCATTTCGCTCAGATTGACTCAGAAACCGTAAACCATGGATAAGACATGGATGTATTCCAATCGATTGTCGAAAGAGTACGAGAACGGGGTATCGAAATTCGTTAAGTTTGCTGTTGCGCACGCCGAAGACCCCGGTCAAATGACATGTCTTTGTTTGTGTTGCTGTTATGGGAATCGAGTTGACGCGGTTCAGTTGGCATCGCATTTAATACGGTATGTAATTGATAGAAGTTATACATGTTGGAATATGCATGGTGAGAAAAGTGACGGGAATGATGAATCGGGGGATAATAGGACCTATGCTTCAAACAACAATGGCACAGATACATACGATTATGATCGAGTTGAAGAGATTGCAGAAGCGCTTGAAGAAGATCTTAATGATTGTCCCAAAATGTTAATAGGGGGATAACAGGACCTATGCTTCAAACAACAATGGCACAGATACATACGATTATGATCGAGTTGAAGAGATTGCAGAAGCGCTTGAAGAAGATCTTAATGATTGTCCCAAAATGTTCGAGAGGTTAGTAAGCGATACAGAGAAACCGTTGTGTAATGGTTGTACAAAATTCACAAGATTGTCTGCGGTATTAAAGTTGTACAACTTAAAGGCGGGCAATGGATGGTCGGATAAAAGTTTCACAGAGTTATTAGCCCTTATGAAAGATATGCTACCAGAGGATAATGTTCTCCCCAATCGAACGTATGAGGCCAAAAAGATGTTGTACTCTATTGGCATGAGCTATGACAAGATACATGCCTGTCCAAAAGATTGCGTTTTGTTTCGAAACGAGTATGCATCGTTAAATGAGTGTCCTAAATGCGGTGCCTCTCGATATAAGAAAAAGTTGTCTCCGGCAAAAGTCTTATGGTATTTTCCTATAATTCCGAGATTTAGACGGATGTATCGTAGTGAAGCCAATTCAAGACACTTAACTTGGCATGCAGATGAAAGAATTGTTGATGGAAAGTTTCGACATCCGGAAGATTCACCACAGTGGATGAAAATTGATAATGATTATCCTGAATTTGGAAAAGAAGCAAGAAACCTTCGCTTGGCATTGTCTACTGATGGAATGAACCCACACGGTATTTAAAGTATCTCGCATAGCACATGTCCTGTGATTCTTATGATTTATAACCTACCCCCGTGGCTATGTATGAAGCGTAAGTACATGATGTTATCTATGTTAATTTCTGGGCCTAAACAACCAGGAAATGACATAGACGTATATTTGGAACCTTTAATCGAAGATTTGAAGATTTTGTGGGAGAACGGTGTGGAGGTTTATGATGGGTATAGGAAAGAAAGTTTCAACTTGAGGGCAATGTTGTTTGGAACAATTAACGATTTTCCAGCCTACGGAAATCTATCCGGGTATAGCATTAAAGGTGAAAAAGTGTGTCCTATCTGTGAAGATGGAACCGATACAATGCGATTGAAACTTTGTCAGAAGAATGTCTTTCTCGGTCATCGTAGATTCTTAAAATCTAAACATCAATATCGTGGATGGAGAAAACACTACGCCAAATAAGCTATTTAATAGCGCTTTTTTTTTGTTTTTGATAGCGCTTAAAAGTGCTATTAACCGCGCCACTATTGTAAATATTTCTTATTTAATAGCACTTTAAAAGCGCTATTAAAGTACCAATTTATAATAGCGTTTTAATTAAAGTGCTATCAAAGTCAGTATTTTGCATGTTTTTTGTTTGTTTTTTTATAGCACTCTAAACAAAAAGCGCTAATATATAACATATGTTTGATAGCGCTTTCAAATAAAGTGCTAATAAATGGTACATATTTGGTACAATATTTTTAATAAGTACAGTACAATATTTTTTCTTACACAATCATTTTTTTTGGTGTAAATATAAAATAACTATATTCAATTCAACACAAATAACGCTTTAAGTTACTCATTGCATATATATTATGATCCATCAAATACCAAATAACATTTTAAATTACCAAATCCTATTGTTTCCAAATATCATAACATATAGAATATTAAGAGGGCGTTTGCATAGCCAAATTTGTAGATGCCCATCTATGAGTACTTCAATCCAAATCCAAAAACATACAATCAAATTCTCTAAACAAAACACCAAAAAAATAAGAAAGGATAACAAAACAATCCCATGTAGTAACCATCTTCATGATCCAAAAGCGTTGAACTCATAGATACAATCACTAATTAGGAAAAATAATTGCTTCTTGTTTTCCTGTATCATAGAAGGAATATTGATTATGTATTGTACAATAAAAACTAATTCAACATATAAAGAATAATCAAACATTTAATATGGGTCTAACAAGAAGCGCATAAAATAAGGAATGATTATTATAAACTAATAACAATAAATCGATATAACTAATGCAATAATTGAACTATATAGAACATGACTTGTAAATATATAGACCACAATTTCCATTATTAGATGCATATAAACACTAAACAGAATATAATTCAAATTCTCAAAATATACATAAACACTTAATTGTGTGTAACTTTCTTTTCATGATCCAGAACTAGATATCAAACACCTTACAATTGTTACTACGAATATCTAAAAATTTCAAGTAGAAACGGAAAACTATAAATCAATCATACAATAAGATATAAGTCATTTTTCCATATTTTCCTATTTCAAAATTTAAATTCGAGACCAAGAAAGAACACTCAGTACCTCTGTGCCATATCTTCTAAACCAATAAAATACTAAAATCATTTATACGACAACTCTAAATCCAACTCAAAAATTAAAATTAAACATCTAAGTCAAAACATTTGAACTCTAAATCCATGAGTAATATTTGTCTTGTTTATCAAGTATCAAGTCAAGGAAAAACTCACCGAAAACATCATCCACCACATAAGTAGCCCAATCCTCCTTAACCTCAGTTAACTTATCATGAGAGTAGGTACAACATTTGTGGTCAAAAAAGTACTTCAAATATGAAAACATCAACAATTAATCGTGTTAGAATTAAATTATATTAATTTAATTTACAAAAGAATAATAATAATAATTAAAATCACGTACATTTGTGGGGATCATAAATTCATTTTCCATGATGACCTCTTTCATAAATCGCATTACAAAGTATCCACAATCAACGCCATTAATTTGACGAGGACACTACAAAAAAAATTTTATATCGATTAATTTTACTCCACATAATTGTTTTAAAATAACATTAATTTAGACACATACCTTTATTTTTTGCCATGAGATTTTCTTTGACTTTGACACTTTAGGCACTTTAGAACTACTATTAGCACGATAAATTTGCAAAGCGCTAACAAAATGAAATTAACTTCAAATGAGTAATTATATAAATAATAATACGTACATAAATTTTAAATTAAAAGAGTCTATACTCACTTCTCAAACTTTGTTTTAAAATTTTGATGTTTTGTTGGCTCACCATTCAACGGATCCATGTAATATATCACCTCAGCATTGAGATTGATGACAAGCAACACCCAATGTTTCTTGCACCCAACATTTAAATATTGCATTAAAGATTCACATTCATTAGAGTTTTTTCTCGTTAATTTAATAACTTTTTGAATATAAATCTCACCCTAGATTACAAGGTGCAAGAATCATCTTATCCTTGAACTCCTCATCTTTCAAAAGTATTTTTGCTATACCATTTCCTAGATTATCCTCCCGTGATACATGTGGAGATATGAAAGAGAACTTATTTATTAATCCATTTGGACTAATAAACTTGTCATACAAATACCTAGAAATGAACAACAATTGATATTAATATATTTGTCACCAATGTGAATATTAGTCAACAATACAAATAACATTAATATTAATAATATATTTGTCAAATAAGAGAATATTTGTAATAATAGAGGTACCTGGAAAATACAGTGATAATAGATACACTTAACCAATTGTGATCAAGAATCTCCTTTATACTCTCTACACGTAGTTGCTCTAAAAACTCCTCACCAAATATACTTTCCTCCATTTTTATTTGAATTAATGATCCAACCCTCATCATCTTTTTCACATACATATCAAGGAAAGGTAAATTTGCAATACCAGCTGAACCGCCAACTCTAGGAGACTCTTCGATTTTGAATTTTTTGTTACTTTTGTTGGGTGATGAAACTGAATATTCAACACTGTGTTGAATATTGTTACCTTTGTTTTGGGATTGACCAGGAATCTAAAAAGTTGTATTAATTAATATTAGTGATCAAATAATAAAACAAGTAGCGATCAAGCAACTTGATTATAAGTAATTTACCTTTTCACATTCAGCAACAAATTCAAGAAGTTTCGTTGGCCATGGCACAATTGTTCCTATTGCTTGACCAACCATGGATACATCTCCATCTTCAACATATATAGGCAATGGGGCATTTGGCACAATAGCAACTTCGATATTAACCTTGACATATCCAGGTGGTAACGTCATGCCATGTACCGTGTTACCTTTGGTGTTATATAGTTTTCCACGAGCAACCAAACAACGACTCGGGGAGGATAAATATATATTAACAGGAAAGAGACCCTAAACCAATAAGATATGAATAAAAAGATTAACATCATTATTGAAAGAACAAACATATCGAATTTGAGAGATAATAAAGAAACCAATTACCTCGGGAATGTTGCCAAATGATCCAGGGTTGCAAGAACCTTTATCACTAGGTAGTCGACTCTCAGCTACTTTTTCTGGTTGTTTCCTTTCTACCACTTGTTCAAGGTGTTGCCTCTGTGCCACTTTTTCAGGTTGTTGCAACCTCTCTGACACTTGTTTAGGTTGTTGCCTTTCTTCCACTTCTTCAGTTTGTTGCCTCTCTAGCTTCTCTCTATCCAACTTATCTCTCTCAATCTTTTCTCTCTCTAGCACCTCCAATCTACTTTTGAGTGAATTACAAAAGCCATACAATTTTTCAAAATCCATTTGTGTGGGGCGATTTTGGCGTGGTAATATGTCCCTAGAACATACCCCAAAACCATAAGTCCTAACACGTCCAGAGTAGTTTGGGAGATTAAGAGCCTCAAATAATATGTTTGTGGGACCAAGGTCTTGTCTCTCTTCTTCATATAGAGCTTCTGTTAACTTCTCCTGACATTGATAAGTATAAAAGAAATAACCAATAGTTAGATACAAGTTGCAATTAATGGCTATTCTATCAAAATAAGACACAAAGACTCAATTAATTAAGGAAAATCGAGTTTAATGACTTCAAACTAACTAACAAAATACAAATTCGGTAACAATGATGAGTATAGAAAAAGTGTCACATCTATAATGTGAGCATTTTGGAAATAACATCTATAGTGTTACATCTAAAATTCGACTTACACATTGATCCACAACTCTTTGAACATTCTCATTATCAATCACCCCGCTCTTATTGACGCGGGCAGCCTTCCACACTTGACTACGGTTTATCTCACCAACTTCTGACTCTTCTACCTGTATATACATTTTTACAAATTAACATAGCAATTAAATTTTTTTATAATATTGTATAGTACATTTATACACATACTTACCATATCAGCTTCAAGACGAGCACACCCTAAACGTGACTTTCTATAGGTATGTTGAGGATTTAACGCTCTTTCTCGATTCTCATCACTAACTTTCTGCATTTATTATAAAAAATGCATCCCACAACACTATCACTAATACTATAATCATGCAAAACTTTAAGGATCCATATCCAAGTGATAAAAGTATTACCTGAAACTTTGCAGTCATATGTTGGGCTACAAATTTATCCCAATCATCTTGTTTTATACAAAAAGAATATTTGGCCGGACGATGTTTAACAAAACCACCCTTACTATCTTTTAGATATGACCTCGCCATTTTTGTTCTGAATGCCCTGTGCAACTTTCCAGCTTCTCTATATACAAAGGCACGATGTTCCTCGCCAATTATAAAAGCTTTCTGCAAATAATTCAGTTTATTAAAACATAGTTCAGTTTATTTAAACATCCCAATGGATAGATTAACGAAATTAAAATTTTACAACTAGCTTAAGTTAGTGTGTTACTTCAATTTCATCCCAAATGTTTTGTTTATAAACCCCCACAGCCTCTTTATTTTTTTTCGCGCTCCAATTGTCCAAGCTTATTGGAACTAACCGACGAACTGTGACACCAATGAAACTAGCAAAAGTCTTGCTATTATGCTTGATTGGTTGACCTCTGGAATTCCATTGAACCTATAACAAAATTAAAGTGCAAATAAAGAATCAACAGTCTCACTAATAGTGTTTAACATTCAAATAGTTTCAAACAACTAACTCATAAAAGATAATCATGTATGTAACCATCACTCATACATAGTTCAGTAAAAGGAAAATTGCCAAGAGAGTAAACAGTATCATAAAACTCTAGCTATTTTACCTCAATTCTATTTCCATTGCTTTTGGCTTTGTGAATTTTTTGCAATCGGGTCACACCACGTTTACCAACTGTTTTCTTACTAGACGAACCACTTTCATCATCAATAGAAGCCATATTTCACCTATAAAAATTTAAAAAGTTATATACCATACAAGAATAACATTAAGAAGCAATAACAATAAAAAAATGAAAAACAAATAAATAAACCATACAAGATTAAGTCGGCCTTTTCCTCTTCCTTGTAGTTGGATTCCTACTTTTTTGTTTTCTAGTTACATAAAATGATGGATTGATCCAAATCCCATCACTGTGATCGTTTCTCATATAAAGAATATCATCTATAATTGATTCAGACTCAAGGGGTTGTGAAGTATTAAAGAAAGGGTCATCCTCAACATCTATATTTGGAGTGGTGTGATCATTTATTTTGTTACTTAGAAACACAATAGACCACTTTTCATCAGCAGGATCATAAAACTCTAGCTATTTTACCTCAATTCTCTTTCCATTGCTTTTGGCTTTGTGAATTTTTTGCAATCGGATCACACCACGTTTACCAACTGTTTTCTTACTAGACGAACCACTTTCATCATCAATAGAAGCCATATTTCACCTATAAAAATTTAAAAAGTTATATACCATACAAGAATAACATTAAGAAGCAATAACAATAAAAAAATGAAAAACAAATAAATAAACCATACAAGATTAAGTCGGCCTTTTCCTCTTCCTTGTAGTTGGATTCCTACTTTTCTGTTTTCTAGTTACATAAAATGATGGATTGATCCAAATCCCATCATTGTGATCGTTTCTCATATAAAGAATATCATCTATAATTGATTCAGACTCAAGGGATTGTGAAGTATTAAAGAAAGGGTCATCCTCAACATCTATATTTGGAGTGGTGTGATCATTTATTTTGTTACTTAGAAACACAATAGACCACTTTTCATCAGCAGGATCAGTGACATAGAACACTTGGTGAGCTTGTGATGCTAAAATAAAAGGCTCGTCTTTATACCCTACTTTATTAAGATCGACCTTCATGAACCCAGGGTCAACTTGAAGGCCATTGTTATTGTCAACCCACTTGCAACCAAACACGGGCACTTGAAAGCATGAGTAATCCAATTCCCAAATACGTTCAATGACCCCAAAATATGACAATTTGGAAAATGCGGGATTTCTATTTTTGGAACTTGAGATATGCACAGATTCAGCTACGAGTGTGACACCGCTATTTTGCACAGTGCTTTGATGATCATGTTCTTCTGTATAAAATGTATACTTGTTAATTATATAACCAGAGTACGATAGAACATTTGAATTTGGACCATTTGCTAGCCATCTCAATCTTTCTGAAATTGAATCAGGATTTTTAGCAAATTCTGAAAAAATGTGTTCTTTTAGCCACGGTATAAAACTTCGATTGTGTTCTCTTGTTAACCAATTTTCACTCTTATTAGGGTTCAAACTTTGAAGTATTTCTTTGTGCTTTTCAACATATGGCTCAACCTCATCAGCATTGTGTAGAACATACAAGTGTGATTGCTCCAATTCGATGTCTGACATGGTTACTAGTTTACTTGCACCAATCCCTTCCCCTGTTGTTTTTCCAGAGTGTCGTGACATTGGAATCCCTATGGGCTCAATATTAGAGAGGTATTCAGTACAAAACTCAATGGCTTCTTCAACTAAATATCGTTCAACAATACAACCATCTGGTCGACTTCGATTCTTCACGTACCCTTTTATTATCTTCATGTAACGCTCAATCGGGTACATCCACCTCATATAAGCTAGTCCACAATATTGTGTTTCCATTATAAGATGGACTGTAAGATGAACCATTATGTCAAAAAATGAGGGTGGAAAATACATCTCAAGCTCACATAATGTGACAACAATTTCCTTTTGTAACGTCGATAACTTCTCAGGGTCAATAACTTTGCTACAAATAGCTTTGAAGAAAAAACAAAGTTTAGTTATGGTCCATCGCACATTTTCAGGTAAAATGGAACGTATAGCCACTGGAAGAAAGTTCTCC